CTGTAAAACCAGGGACATACTACTAATTTCGTCTGTGCTTCATATTTCTCTTCAGTAAAACAATAATAATATCACCTTGCTAATAGACATGTGACATTTTCTTGGTGTAACATAGAAAGAACATTCAGTGTTTGGTCATATATTGAGCCTCAAAAGTTTGATATTATGCATACACACAATTCCATTTTTGATGATGCTTACTTTGGTCACTTGATTAAAGTATATTCTGGACTGAGATTGTATGTGTCCTCAGATCTGTATGTCAGAACCTTAATCACTAATTTGATATAATGTATTAGGAGACAAGGTCCAAAAGTCCAATGGGTAGTATGCTCATGAATAGTATTAGTGCCTTACAAGGAGGCCACGGAGAGCTTCCTCACTTTTTCCTACCGTCTGCGGACACTGAGAAGACAGTCATCCATGAGCCAAAAGTGTGCTCTCATCAGATATGGGTCACTTAATAAAAATAGCATGCTATTTTTTATAATGATGACTAGATGTCATCATTATAAAGATATTTTCAACTCTGTTATTGAAAAGTAATCAGTAGGCTTATTCTTTAAATCAAGTAGATATTATATCCCCAAATAAGTTTATACTGAACAGTTTCAGCCTCTGCTCAATTTGCCAATGTATTCCCTATTCTGTCTATATTTATTAAATGTTCATTTTATCATTCAATTTAAAACTAAATGACAGAAACTGCTATAAAGCCATAAATGGTGTACATTTTCCTTAGCTTTTAGATATTCTTAGATAAAGTGATCATAATTAGATGCTGATATTTATCATTTATGAAAGAATTACCCTAAGCATGTATCAGTTTGATGTGACATGGTTTAAAGCAATTATATATCCCCAAAGGCCTGGGATACTAGTGCAGGTAATGATTTATTTAGAGAGCAATGAACCTTGTCAAAGCCATAGCACTGCTTTTATGGCCCAAATTAATAATTTGAACAGAGATATTTCAAGTCAGTTCTCATATGTAAACCATTGAATAACAAATATTGTATATGGTGCACATATTGCAACTGACCTAAGGCTGCTACTTTGGGATATAAAGTAAGGCATTTTGTTCTTGTTGGACTCACCCAAGTGCCACAAAGATCAAACAGAGCCAGAGACCTGTTAATTTTTCCCACTGACAACGAGCTCAAACACTTTCTCAGTTTCAGTGCAATATTTTTCTTTCTTTCTGTCACACTTTCTTATTTTTCATTATAAGAAGAAACTATTCATGCATATGCAAGAAACTCCTGACAGTTTTATGCAATAGTTTATGCTGAAATTATCTCTTCCTTCTTTGACTCTATTTAATGCTGGAGCCGGATGTATTTTCATCTGCAGACTTCCTGTTGCCCAATAGTAATTTATGCACGAGGTATCACAAACAAGACTAAAGTTATTGCAAAATAGTGTGTTTTTCTTCTCTATGCCAAGAATTTAGGACTTTTGTGTTCTTTCCTTAAGATAATGTATACCAAGTTGTGGGGATGTATACCTCCTGGATGGAGGAAAGTGAGATTATGCCTTTTAGCTTCTATCTTTTGTTTTCCAAAATTCTGAATAATGACATCCCACTAAAGAGAATATGGCAAGAGGTTCAGAGAGATATATCAGTAGAGAAGAGTTCATAGTGTGTGGAATAAGAATGGGGGCATGGAGTAGAGGGAATCATCATGATAATCAAGAGAAGGACAGATGTCATTAAAGAATACAAAAGATTCATTTGGTCTTGATGGAGAGAGGTTGGAAAGTATGTGATCAAATCTAAGATTCAGATGGAACCTAAGAAATAAGATCTAGCTAGGAGCAACAGCCCAGATCAAGTTAGGGTCTTATTGCTTTCGTGGGAACAAGAATGTGTATACAGAAAGAGAACAGCCATAAACCTGCAGGGACAAGGACCATTTTCTGGAGAATGTGCACAGAAGTTGAATTCAGAATTAAATGAACACTAAAGTCAGTCCCAACTCCCTCAGACTCACTTGTAAGCACCTGCTTTTGGGCTCTGCCACAAGAAGATGACTTTCCAACTCTAAGCAGAATAGGATCTAGTAACAAGAAGTGAACTTCAGTACCATCAGCAAAATGGAAAAATAGGAAGCCTCAGCTTCTTATTCTCCCATGAAGACTGAATTAACAATATATTGACTAAATTGCCTTTGTGAAAACTCAACAAACTAGCTAGCAAGCTGTAGCACCCTAGGTGAAGCGTAAATCCAGAAAGAGCTGGATCAAAGTGGGTTGAAAATCCCTATCTTTTTACTAATTCTAGCCCCTCTCCCAGTCTGGCACTGTGATTGGAAAAAACCCAACTCTGAGTTTTGGTCTCAAGAAGGTAAAATGAATGGACCATGAATCAAACACTCCAGATTTTAGAGGGATTGCCAAGGAGACAGTTTTTTGTCTCATGTTACGCATAGTGTTGACAGGAATTGGCATGGTTCTTATGTTGAGGTTCACTGAGAACAGGGTGAGCCCAACAGTTTCAGCACTAGAGAGACTGTAGTACCAGAAACAGGCGCCAGCAGCACAGAGACTTAACTTCTAGAGAAGCAGACAAACCACTTTAACTGGAAAATTGTAGAAAACAAGCACAAAAAAGATGCATCCCAAAAAGTTTTGAGGATACGCAGAATGTCTAATTATGCTGATTGCTGCTTCCTCTATACAAAGCTAATCTATAATGACTGAAGGAGGTTGGTGTTTTATCTAACGCCCAAATTTCAGTAAAAGATCAGAAGCATACAGAGAAATAGGAAAACATGGCTTAACCAAAAGGACAAGATAAATCTCCAGAAACCAATACCCAAGAAATGTAAATCTATAAAGTACCACCTGCTACAGCACAAAGGAGCAAGTTAAAGGCAGTTGGTCACCTTTCTCAAAGCTTGACTCAGTTTTGAGAGTCCATTGCATATCCCCATGCCAACCTGCTCAACCCAAGGTGACCATTTCATCACATGGGGATTGTTATAAACTAGCACCTACTCTGATTAAAAGATATTTGCACACTTGGGGTCTTTTTAGAGTTACTTACAATACTCAAGAGGTGTAAGTAACAAAAATGTCTACTGATAGATGAATAAATGAAATGTGGTACCTACATAAAATGGTACATTAGTCACTCTTACAAAAGAAAGAAATCCTGTCACATGCTACAACATAAAAGGGGCTTCATGGCATCATGCTAAATGAAACAAATGAGTCTCTCCCAACACACACACACATACACCCAAAATACTGTAAGATTCCCATCACAAGAAGTATTGCAAGTAGTCACAATTCATGAAAGAGAAAGTACAATGGTACTTGTCAGGGGGCAGGGAAGGGTGAAATAGGGATTTTTAGTTTAATGGGTATACAGTTTTAGCTTTGCAAGATGAAAAAAGTTCTAGACATCTGCTATACAACAATATGACTAAAACTAATACTATTGCACTGTACACTTAAATGGTTAACATGCAAAATTATATGTACTTTTAATACCATTAAAGTTTTAAAATGTAAAAATCAAGAATCCAATTTGATTTCAAGAAAATAATGCTGATTCTTCACAGACATGAAAAAAATGTTCCTTAATTAGTGGTTCTGTGGATGAAGTGAGGGGATTTTGCTCCTTCTCTATTGGGGGATATTCATCAATATTTGGTGACAATTCTGCATGTCATGCGTAGGGTGGGTTGCTACTAGTATGCAATGGGTAGAGGCCAGGTCATCTTTCAAGCATCCTATAATATGCAAAACAGTCCTTTATAAGAAATTATTTCTCCAAAATGTTTCCAGTAACTTTTTAAAAGAAATCCTGTCCTAGATTGATAATTAGAATGGGTTATTACTGTATCAGTCATTTCCCTCCTGGTTAGATTAGTGGAGCTCAGATTCTGAGAGCAACTGAGAATATAAAGGCAGAAGGGTACTAAGCTGAGAGTGTAGGGCAGAAGCCTTTTGCTGAGAGATAGAGATTACCAACCCCCCAAAAATATGAGAAGGAGAGATGAGAGAGAAACAGAGACAGTTTTGTGGGGAGAGGGATAGGGCAGGTGTGGGGGGTAGACTGTAAGTAGACTGCTATGTAAGATTCTGTGCTAAGCACCTTACATGTGCTATCTCAGATAATTCTTTAAACTTCTCTAAAATTGTTTAAAATTATTACAGTACAAAGAGGAAAACTTGGGTGAGCAGATTTAGTGGTATTTTAGCGAATTCTTCTGGAAGGGAAGTGGGTGTGGTTGTCCCTAAAAGGGGCCAAGCTTCTTCACTGTCAAAGCTCAGGAGGACAGCTGCACCCTTCTAACCCATGGGACTCTGTGACAGAGCTAAGGGTTCAGGGCACAATGGAAAAGTGACTGAAGACACCCTTGAGAAGCAGAAGGGTCACCAGGAGACCAGGAGAGGGGCAGGTAGAGGTTTATCTGCCTGGCTCCCACAAATTTCATGAGTGTATGGTACAGACTGAGAACTTCCTCTAGTTTTCCTGTCTGATACATTGAAGTCATCTTCCAAAGAACACCCATGCAGAATTTGAAGGGCCACAGGGACTCTCTATCTTCATGAAACCATGCCAACCATTGAATTTTCTCAGGTGCTGCCATCTGTTCTTCCCCCTGTTTTACCAGTTCTCTAGAAGGGCCCTACTTTTCTGAGGGCAAAAGTCTATTATTTATCAATATTACAGTTATTAATTACATATTATTGAGTGCTCCTTAGATGCAGTGTAGGTCTTTCATAAGCATTTTTTCTCAGTTTCATTTCAATTTTCCAGTGTTGGTGCTGTTCTCTATTTAACATAGAAAACTGAGGCTCCAAGAACACAGTTTTGTCCAAAAACATGGAGTAGTAAGGAAAGGAGTAGCAATTCACTTATAAAGCTGCATGATTGGCACATTCTCCCAGGTGGTTTTATTAGTGATTTTTCTGAGGTTCCTAAGAGTTAACAAAAAAGGAAGTGCAGGCATATTTCACAAAGCTGCCATCTGTTAAGTATCATATCCTGTGTAGCAGCAAACACTGAGCTAAAGAAAGACTAGTGACATTCAAAGATCAGAAGAAGAACTTACTGATTGGACTTGGAGAACCTTTGGGGTGCAGATATTGGAAGCCCAGCTGGGACCACGGAACGGTCCACATGTCCAGGTAGGCAGTGTTAAAAGACTTTTTCTCTGCTTGCCACTCTCTTATTGTGACTGGATTGCACAGGTAATTCACTGAAGTTCCTTGAAAGATGAGACAGTAGAGCATTTCAGAATTAGAATAAGCAAAGGGCTGTCTTCCAAGTGCATGGTCTTTGTGAATTCCTCACTTGTGGCCACATAACTAATGGGAGCACAGCTCTTGTCTCTTCAAATGCTCCCAGGCTATTTGCCAACTGGGAAGACCATGGACTGAGAATGGTGAAGAGAACAGAGATCCAAGCTGAGATCAGTAAGTAATTCCACAAGTGTCTTGGTCATTATGACTAACAAGTGGAGAGTACTGGCCTAGAACCTAGATTTCTTATACCACCACATGTAGCTGCTTCTTCAGACAGAATAGACTCAGACACAGGCTGCCAGCAGCAGGTGGGAAAGTAGGAAGAGGTAGCTTATCTGGAGAATTGTGCAAGAGCTCTAGACTTAGAGATATCTGGGGTCCAGCACCCAGCTGTATGGACATGGCTGGCTAATAATGATAACTTTAAATATTTCCTCAACCTTATGCCATGCATTATGTGAAGTGTGTATTGTTTCCATTCATAATGTAAACTTTTGATTGTGAATTTCCTTAACTATTACGTGTATTTACTAACTAATTTACTAACAGGAAAGATTGTTGTATGGAATAAAAGTAAACAAGATAATGTTTCAGAAATATGATAAAATAGCTATAATCAATGCTATTAGGTATTAATATTAGACAAACTATGTGTAGGGTTCAATAGTGTGAGTGGCACAGAACCTGAAAAGGAAAAGTTTGAAAGATGAATCCTGACCATATTTCATAGGATAACTTGAAGATTAAATTCATGGGAGTGCAGTTGTGATAGCTATGAATGGAATGAAAGACTGGTCATTATATGCTGCAAGTTTTATGTGGCCACTTGCCTATGAACATTGGTACCTATCAAGATTCATGCTGTTGACTTCCTTTGAGTTGTTCAATATCTATAATCAGTAGCCCATGTTATACATTTTTGAAAAATCAAGTTTTTACGTTTTTCACTTCTCCATGCTACTAGTTTATTTTCCTACAGGACAGGCCAAGTCTGGACTAATGAGCAAGTCTGGATTTAGGAACTAGAATCTGGCTGCATGGTACTTTATAAGAGCTAAATTTATTCTCTCTTCCAGCATTGGTGGCACCATCATGATATCACAAATCATGGCGGGGGAGACTGTCACAGTGATCACACCAAATGGAATCAACTTTCCCCAAACAGAACAACCTCAATCCACCCACCAGATGCAAGATAGCCTGAAGAAACGTCTGAAGGCTGAGATCAAAATTATAGGGGTAAATCCAATTCAGAGCACATGGGGCAGGGTGGGAGGCAGAAAGAAGAGATGTTGTCTATCTTGGGAACAGAGATTCTTTGTGAGTGCGGAGACCATTATACTGAGCCATAGGGACTGCAAGGTAACCAGAAGGCCAGTAGAAGCCACTTGGAGAGCTGTTGAAATCTTCCCCAGTACTTTTCCACAGGATGGAAAATGTTTTTTTCCCTTATCTTGAATATGAGTGATTGCATTTTTTCACCTTCTTGTTTTTTGCATTTTTGCATTATAGTTCTTTAGATTTTCTTTAGATCAGAAGTAGCGATAAAAGTTACTATATATATATCTTTAAAGGAAATTTTTCCCTGTAAATTACTGGGAAACAGAGGTGATGTTAACCCTTTGCTTATCACTTTTTCCTCATCCAGAATTTATAGAAGAGATTATTAGATAAAAGGAAGAGGGGATAAAGTACCTAGCTAGGGCTGGGAGGAAAATATTTCTGGTTTTGAAAGTTGTCCCTACATTAACACTTGTTAGGCTCAGGTAACATACGATTTACAAAACTGCTTGAAAAATGTGAGTCTCTGAGGTGAAGTTGGATGCCAGGAAGGAAAATTTTACTTCTTCAGATACAGCTTCAAGATCCTCAGGCTAGGAACATAGACTGAAGAGGCCATAGTGTTGACATCAAAATGCCATTTTCAGAAGACTTTGGAGGAATCCAAGCAGAACCTGGATATAAATCCAAGCATGGATATAAGTGGGGTTTGTTAAAAGTTAGGGAAAGGGAAATACAAATGGAGCATGGTAGGGCACAGGTGGTGCTTCTGCTCTTCAGGTGTTTTTAAAACCCACACTAACCCATGGGGAGGGCAGACACAGGAGGTTCCCACTCAACAATGAACTGAGTGGGGAGGGGCATGGGCAGTTCCCAGCCAGGTGAAGGGGGTCTGAGCCATTCCCAGACAACCTACCTGAGCCTCCAGCTTTTCCCCTGCCTCAATTCCTCCTGAGAGACAATATTCCAAATAATTCTTTTGGGAGGGTTGTTGAAGTGGGGTCAGTCCATCTTCAGTATCTGCTTTGAACTGTCAAGGAGCAGCAGACCCTATCCTGTTTTTTCCCCTTGGGGCTTATTTGGACACAAGGTGTCTGAATTATTGTCCAGCATAGTTAAGGTTCCTCATGGAGATCAGGGTTGCTCATAGAGACCGTGTATATTTATAGAGATCAATAGCTTTGTTGCCTCATGATTTGGGTCTGAAAGGCTTTTATTCTGGAAGAGATAAATTTGGTTTAGAAGGCATGACCTGAACATGAACAATGATAGGAGCATCAGTAGGGACCCTTCCAGGTGTGTCAGGAAGGATAAAGTAATTTTGAAATGTAACAGAGAGTTTTATGTTTCCTTTGCCTATTGGTGTTTAAATCTGTAGCTATTTTTTAACTTTTAGATGGCACTCTATTTTGGACTGTCATTATAGTGGGCATTTAAGGGTTGACTACATCAGGGAACAGGTGTACCGGGGACAGGTGTAAGGCCAATTAGAGAGTAAACATCAGTGGGTCAGTTTTGTTCAGAAAGAAGACTCACTGAATCCCTAAGCAGAAATTAGATATCATGGAAAGTTATATTGCCTTTTTTTAAACAGAAGGCCTTGGCCAAACACATGACTGCCTTTTGCCAGAAGCCTAAAATGCTTCCATATTAGAGCACATGTGTAAGAGCTACTTTTTACAATCTCCCGGCTTCGGTTACTTTGAGAGGTCTGGCATAATTGACTCCATCTGCATCTGGAGAAGTCCCCTTATTTGTGCAGTCCTCTTGAACTGTCTCATGTGGCTGAATGCCACTTGTTTCTCTGAGAAGTTGGTGGGTTGCTGATTGCTCAGGGGTTACATCTTAAACTCTTAAACTGTTTCTCTGAATAGTTGTCTCTGAAGATTTTGCAAGTTTTGCAGTTTTGTTCCTCATGGCAGGAGTGCTTTTCCCAGAAAGTCATATTTTGCCCCACAGAGGAGGGGAAGAAACACATCAAACAGATCAGAAGTCAGTGCCAATGTGACCTTTGTAGCCAAATTAAGTAAAAAAAAGTCTCTTAGTCTGGGCCTTATTAAATCTAATTGTTTGTCTTATAGGAGGTGTACTGACACCTTTAAATTTCTGTAAAGTGTTAGCAGGTAATAGCTCTAAAGTTTTCACAAGAAAAATACAGTATGATCCCAGTTCTTAAGAATGTCTGTCCTGCTTGATAGATAAGTACTTGTCAGAGTCATAGGATCAGAACTGTAGTGACAAAACTTAAAGTAACCATGGTTAAGTACAATTTAAACCTTGAATTTTGGTTAGGTAAAGTAACACGTGAATGGCTGTCAGTATTGTCAATACAGTACCGACAATTAAAAACCCTAACTTTCCAATGGTTAGGGGAAGGCAGTACTAGTAATTTTAAATAGACCTGTTCTGATGCTCAGTTGTATATTCTGTATATTATTTAGTTATTGTCAGATAAACATTGTTCAGGTAAACAAATGTTTACCTGTCAGGCAGACGTCAAGCCTAAATGGCAGAACTTTTAGCATTTGTCATAAAAAGCAGAAATGTCAAAGACCTTATTAGATAGAATGTACCTTTAAAAAAAGAACTGTAGCTATTTACAAGTATACATTTTTATAAGGCACTAGCAGTTTTAGAGCCATTTAAAATTATTTTTACTTAGTTTAAACTTAGCTTTTTGTGTTATCCAAAAAATACCTCAGGATTTTTGGCAGGATGTAAAGAATAGTAAATAGTTTTAAATGGGCTATATAGAGAGCTAGTCATCTTATTTTTGATTAGTAGGATCAAAGCATCTCCCAATACTTAAGGATACAGCAAAGTGGATATGTTGGCTTCCCCTGTGCTGGTTGGTGGAAAGAGAGAGGGAAAAGAGGGGAAAAATCCATTCACCCCTCTACCCCTTCATGAGAGCTCCTGAATAGAATTCCCTATGCTGGCTGGTAGAGAGTGAAAGAAGGAAAACGAAAGGAGGAAAGTTGCCCTTTCATAGGGATCTTTCTAGATTCACAAAGTGCCCTTTTTGAACCTTCTGAAAGCCTCAACACAACCTGTTGATTGTTACAAGGGAAACATCTTAATATGAACGTTTTATACAACAGTACAAAATTAATAATCAAATAATAAACCAATTAAGATTAATGTCTCAAATAATTAGATACAGAAACAGAGATAAGGGGGTAAGCATAAAGATAGGATACTCAATGACTGAGGCCCATGTCTTGGATGTTGTTAAGAAATTATATTCTAGACTGTTGATGTTAGCTAACAGAATGACTTGGGACACATAGCAGAGTTTTTCTTGACCTGCATATAGTCTCTGGAGCCCAAAAATAACAAACTCAGTCCTTAGAAGTTAATGACACATATAATTTGGTGCTTTAGGATTAATTACATTTTTTTAGACTCCTAAAAACTTAGTTTTATCATTACATCTGGAGGGTGAGCTTTTGCTTAGTTTTGGTAAAATTTTGTATCAGCCAGTAGCACCAAAAGATCTTAATAGTTATTTTGATAAGACAGAAACCCATTTTTAAAATATACATTAGTACCTTAAATCTTGAGCTTAGAAAACTCTCTAGGCAAACTTCAGACTATTGCCAACCCAATATGTAAACCCATATGTAAACTTACAAGCTTTAAGACCTTAATTTGTATCTTGAAATAACCTTTGTAAAAACCTGAATTTAGATAACACTGTCTTTAATAAAACTCTTACTGACCTTATATCTTAAAAGACTTAGGAAGAAAATTGAATTAAGCCATCTTTTTAATGATAGCAATCTATAAGAACACATGGGTCAATAAACCTAATTATAAAAGAGTTAAATGCATACTCTAGCTTCTCTTCAGATCTCATAAATCTTTTGCCTTTTAAGAGTTAAATGCATATTGAATTACACTCATGATAGAATGAAACAGATTATTGTTTATATATATTAGTTTTAAGGCAGAAACTAGTTAGGCCTAGTTGGAATCAGAATTTTTGATAACTTTTGAGACAGTTGTATACATTAACTTTATAAAAGCAGCTTGAGAACCATCCTAAATACATCAAAATGCACATCTACATGTGCATACTGGGCTCAAAAAAATAAAAATTAAGTGATCACAATTTGTAGAAGACAAAGACATACACAGAAAACACACAATGACACACAAAGCAATCACATTAATTTAGAGTGCACTCTTATTAAACAAACCATTTCTTTATCAATATCTTTAGTAGATTAGTCAGCTAGATTCCTAAGTAGTTCACAACAGATCTCCAATTCAAACACTCCACCCTTTGTCCAATCCTTAACAGATCAATACAGTAAAAACAACACACATAAAAACTATATTAATCTAGAGAATTTTAACCACAAGTTAGTTATAGTTTTCCTAGAGGATGCCAAGATGATGTCACCCATGAGTTTCCTATTCCTAGGTAGTGGCAAGATGGTGTTGAACATGTGGTGGCTTCATCATGGTGGCAGCATTCCCTGTGACCACATGGTCTCTCCAAAGGGGCTTTCAAATGGAACACAAAGACATGTTACATGCAACATACAGGCTCAAAATAGAAATCTCTTATAGGAATGAAAGACAACTCCCCACCTGAGAGACAGGTTAATCGTCCTAATGAAAAGGCCAAGTAGTAGAAGCAAACTAAGGTGGGATTTAAAAGGTTTTGTTGCCTCCTTGGATGTGACATTACTTGATAGTTTTGGAGAATTAGTCATAGGTTGTAGAACTTTTTTTCTTTGAACTTTATGTCCTGTCTTTTAGTTTTAAAGGCTTATCTAAATTTAGGATTACTGGGGCTAGGGCACATGGCAGTAAACCTTTAAACTCTGCTATTGTTCAGTTTATTCTGGGTGTTTAGAATTACATGCTGGACTTCCTCTTAAAGGGGTTTCGTTATTCTAGAAAACCAAGAATCCAAACCCTGTAAAACCTAGACATTTACATGTCTACAGTTTGGAACTGACCTTAAGCAAGTTTAGAATCTGACATTCTACTTTGAGCCAAGAAGACAAAATTTTAAAATAAAAATAATTAATTGTTAAGAATAAAATTTCTAATTAAATTGCCTATTTAAAATACCCACATATAAGGACCTTTTCTTTTTAACCTTTTGGCTGCAAGTAAGCCTAATTTTACCAGCAGAAACTTAAGTTAGAATGTTTTAAAATGCTTATTGTATATTGCATTTTAGAATAACAATTATGATGGACAGTATTAATTAGTACCATTAATTTCTCCTTATCTCAAGTATATATTTAAAACTTGTATTTTAGTTTAAAAAATGACATCTTATTAATAAGTTCCCCCTTTTAATTTTGCCTTTAGAGTAAGTGAATTTTAAATAAATTGCAATTTTGTTATAGATATACTTTATGGGTGACCAATGTCAAATCCTTAATTAAATGGCACTGTTTTTAATTTTAGAAAACATACTTAAGGGAATTTAAATGCATTTAACATTTAAAGGCAGTAACACGGCAGCAGTAATAAAAACCAAAGCTTTTAGAACTCTTACAAGCTTATGAAGATGGTGCTGGTTCCCCCAAATAGACTTGATTTTTTTTATTGACCAAGTGTTAGTTACTTTGTATTAAAAAATATAATTTTAGCCCTGTAAACTTTTGTATAGCACTCAAATGAAATAAATTTTATAAACAATTATCCTGATAAAACACAAAATCTCTCCTATAATACAGTTTTTAGCAAGTATTATTAAGAGCAGAGTGTCTTTAAGATAGAATTAGCTTAAGTTAACTAACTAGCTTTAAGTTAGTTTACTAAATTTTGGTTTTAGGAAATTATGTAATTTTTAAAATTATAGCCATATTAGTTATATTTTGTTACCTTTTGAACACTGAGGTTTCGTGCCTTTTACAAAGTAATTTAACCCTTTTTTAAAACCTCCATTAATCTCTTTTAATGTTAGCCAGCTAGCCAGAGCCCAGACACTATCATAGGGAGTTTTAAAGTTAGCCATTACTCTAAAGCCAGCAGTAATCTATATTAGCAAAATGAAAGACCCAAAGCTAGGAGCACACTAGGACTCTGAAACAGAAATTTTCCATCAATTAGAGCAGGAACCTGGTTTTGGGGCATGCAGCTTCCTCCTGCCACTTTTGTTGCCATGGGGCTGGGGAGCCATGTGAGGCATGGCTAAGGAGAGCACATGCGCTCACAGTAGGCTGCTGGGCTATTGTCCATCTTGTCCCCAGTGCCCTGAGGCTCCCTGGCTTTCCCACTGGTGGAAGCAAAGCAGCAGTGCTTTTGTGCTCTCCTCTTCCAGCCAGCTCAGGCACTGGAAGCCTTCCAGCTGATGAGTGCTGGGCAGAAGCTGCTGGCATGGCCAGAGGGTCTGTGTGTGTCCACCACTTCCCTAGTCACAGTCCCTGTGTGTTACTGCTGCATGGCTGACTAGCTGGGGCCTGAGCACTGGCCTGCTAAGAAGCAAGCCATGTGTTCGTGCCCTTCCCATGCCAAGTGAGTGGCATCTCCAGTAGTGCTGAGGAGTAAATGCCTCTCATTCTCTCTCTAAAACCACTGGTTAAGGGAGAGACAAAGAAAAGGAAAGAAAACAAGAGAAAAGAAAACAAGAAAAGCAGCTCAAGGCATCTTAATTGTCCCTGGCCATGTGGTGGTTAGAGACCTTAGAGTGTGATCTCCCACAGTGCAACTATTATCCCCAAAGGAAAGGGTGGGAAGGGGGTATATGGGATAGAAAGAAAGAAAGAAAAGCATGTTGCAGCTTAAGGCAGCCTGGCCTGCCCATTTTCCAGGAGTCCCAAGGCATGTGCGGCGAGTGTGCATTGGGCAGAGAGACACTGCCACCCACCTCTGCAATGCCACCTGCATGGAGGCCTGCCTGTTGGGCAGACAACGCTGGGTCCAAACCTGGAATTTCCCAGCTACTTTCCCTGAGTACAGAGCTAAGCCCATTCCCTTGGCAGTGCAGAAGTAAAACAGTGAAAAGAATGAGAGTGACCCTCTAAAATGTTGACTGCAAACCAGTGTTTTAAGAAGACCTTGGCTCTTGCATTCCAGCATGGAAGAATCCAGGAAGAATGTATAGGTGTAAATGAGATTTTTTTTTAAGTTAGGGAAAGGGGAATAGAAAGGAAGCACGGTGGGGCACAGGAGTAGTCCTCTGGCCAAGAGAACAAGTTTCTGCTCTTCAGGTGCTTTTAAAACCTACACTAACCCACGGGAAGGGCAGACCCATAAGATTCCCATCCAATAATGAACAAGTGAGGAGGGACATAGGTAGTTCCCAGCCAGCTGATGGTGGTCTGGGCCATCCCTGGGCAACCTACATGAGCCCCAAACTTTTCCTACTTCTAGCTTGCCTCAATAGGTCTGATCTGAGAGCCAGGCTTCATATTTTTATGTCCTGTGAGTTGAGGGACATATGGGGTGGGGCTCCACATTTCCAGTGCTCAAGGTTTTCAGATGTCCCCTGTTCCCACAAGAGGCAGAAGAAGAGTTACTATCCATGGACTCAGAAATCCTAGCACTTGCCCTTTGCAAGGAGCAAGGGTTATGAACAACCCATGGTTTGAGAAGCAGAAATCTCTCAAGGCTGCTGAGTACTTGCCAGATGGCCTGAGGCAGTAGTTTTATGTGACAGAAAATTATCCTCTTCAAAATGAATTTTCATGTCTCACTGTAGAGTGAGATCCTCACTAGGATCTTCTAGAAGGTAATAATGCATAAGTGCCATGGGAAAGGTGGAAAGCCCCTGTCTTTACAAATGCCATTTTTAACCTTCAACTTCCTTCCTCTCCAAACAGGCGATCCAGATCATGTGTGGTGTGATGGTGTTGAGTTTGGGGATCACTTTGGGATCTGGTCCCTTCTCTCCACATTTTACCCCAATGTTTTCTGTCCTGATAAAATCTGGTTACCCATTCGTAGGATCCTTGTGTGTAAGTAGAGTTTTGAGGAGAGCAGGGTGGGGAAGGGAGAGGCCAAAAATAGTACTGTAGACTTTTCACCTATGACTTTACTTCATTTGCCAGGAGCTAGGAGTCAGTGATACAACTCTATCTTTTGAGTGTGTAGCCTAATGGTCTGAGTATGTGGGGGAGTGGGGGAAGCTGCTTCATTTAGTATCTATTCTTATCTGGTTCAAGTAAACATTTATTTTTAAGATCATCTTATTTTTCACCATATCATCTTGAACTATGATGAAATTAGTGTATCCATGAGAAAGGATACAGGTAGGAGAGGACCTTTCTGTATAGCACCATGAGCACCACTGAAGGACCTTGAGAATTCTCACAGAGAAACCTCACAGATGTTTGTAGGAAACATGGAGGAAGGAGGTCTTCTATCTCTGAGAGTTTTTCTTTATTGAAGGCACCCATGGTGGTCTGAGCAGCTGTCTGTTTCAGTGGTGGGTTGGGAATTCCTCTGAAACATCCCCATGTCTGGGAGTCAGGGAGAACTGGTGGTCCTTTTCTAGACCATGGTATTCCTGTAGATTGATGTGTACCTTTCTCACAAGTAAGGTTTCTTTCTGAGATGCTTTTCACAATAACATGACTATTTTGCTTTTTTCATATATTTCTTTGACATATCCAGAAGTTCATCTTTTACTTGTTTGGTCCATTTTGTTTCCTTTATTAACTAAAGTTAATGTTTTAATTGATCCCATAAGTTTTCCCCAAATATCCTTCTGTTCCATGGTCCATTAAAGGACACTACATTACTCTTAGTTATTCTGTGTCCTTGGGCCCCTGAGACTTCCTCATTTAGACTTTCTTAGGCTTTCCTTGTCCCTGATGGTTTTGAAAATTTCTGAGTTACACTGTCAAGGACTTTTGTATGTAATGTTCCCAAATTTGAGTTTATCTGACATTTTTCTCATACTTAAATGAGAGTGATGAATTTTTAGGTGAAGATGATAATGATGATGTGCCATTCTTCTGGGATCACAGAGGTCCTTAACCCGAAAGAGCTCAAGGCAGGAATGAACAAGACAAGACAAGACACATATCCAGAGGGCCAGCAGGCTGATGACCAACTGGAATAATTTTATTTTTCTCACCCAGCTTTATACAAAAGAGGAACAGACTTAAACATCAAAAACACACTGACCTAGTTACAACCTTTCTTTGTTTTCCACCCTGCATTATTACTGCCAGTGTCCTTGACTAAGTATAAACTTCTTTTTAGTCAAGGGAAACCATTTAGTGTTCTTCCCACCATGATAGAGGCATGGTGCACCTGCAGATTCCGACCTTGCCTGAAAGATGCTAAGCCACAGCGACCTTGTCAGACTGTGGCTTTTGGTTCCCAACACCATTCTATCAGGTCACACTATCAATATCATAACACTGATAGAGTTACCATTCTTTATGGGAAAGAGATGGCATTTTTCAGATCTTCTGCTGTAACTTACTTCCCCTTCCACCTTCCATACTACACTCTTTGGAAGCACAGCCCATATTGGAAAAACATCCCATTCTCTTTTGTTTTGTTTTAAGACCAATCATTTATTTATATAGAAAAGACACTTAATTTGGGTACTTTTGGAACCATTTCTTTTTCATTTTCAAAGAATTTTTTGTTGCTTAGCTTCCCTAAATCTATTAGATTATGAAGACTTCAGAGAGTGTAAGTAATTTGATTTCTGAACATAGTCTTAAAGATTTCAAGCCACCCAGCCTCATGCTTCCTTTTGTGGGGCCATCAATTAAAACCATGTCTCTGTTTTCCATATGTTACCATTTCCCATTATTTTCTTTCAAAGAACTAATATGAAGCCCTTCAAATTCTTTCAAAAATTTGAAACAGGAAGGATCACTTCCAAACTCATTTTAGGAAGCCAGCATTATCTTGATACCAAAGCCAGACAAGGATGCTTCAAGAAAAGAAAGCTACAGGTCCAAACCCTGAGATAATAGATCCAAAACTCTTCAGCAAAATAACATGACATTGTGGGCAGCAGCACATTAGAAAGATAGTTCAACAGGGTCAAGTTAAGTTTATCTCAGGAATATAAGCATAATGTAACAAATGCAAATCAGTAAAGGCAACACACTATAGTCATGAAAGTAAGGATAAAAACCATGTGATCATCTCCCATTCTTTTCTTTCTCCAAATCTTTGGTTCATGTTTCCTAAAGAACAACTGGCTCTAAAATTTTCTTCTTTCATTAAAAGAAGTTGCTTTCTGGCATTTAAGGTCCTTGTGTTTTATATTGGGATAAACTTCTGGTCATACCTGCTTTTCCTCATGCTTTCTGAAAGTTATATGGGCAAAAGGGACAAATGCATGTATTTAAATGCATCATACATCCCTAGTCATTTATTCTCCAGGACTTTTCCCATGGGAATTTCTTTATACCCTTGATGACAAAATGGTATCTACTCTGTACATTGAAATGAGAACTGACAATGTTTTCCTCTTTTCTGAGTAGTTTATCATCTCTGGGTCTGTATCAATCATCACAGAGAAGATGTCAAACAAGCGTTTGGTGAGTATAAAAACCATAACCCACTACCAATGCATCAAAATGAAACTTAGAATTCCTCAGGGTCAAGCTGGGCTAATAAGTTTATTTGGAAATTAAATTCCAGAACAGCTATTTGTATAGTTAGGAGCTAATTCTGAATCCTCCATAAACCTATCCAGAGCACAATCCTCCAATGATAGCCTGTATTAAATCAAAGTCTGTATCCAGGGTATTGTATTACACTCTAAATCAGTGCCCAGGAATCTCAAGGAAAAATTCAGTTTACTTGTAGTGCTGTTTTGTATGGAATAGACTTTGAAATGTAGCTCTTCAATCTTGAAGCTCATGTTTGCTTGTGAGTTTACTGTATAGTCCCAAATGTCAAAATCCTTGAGAAAACCCAAATAACGTTATGTTGATGTGAGGATTTATCTCTCATTCTTTCATTTGTCATACCTGAATGCTAGTGGTTTTGTTGGGGTTGAGTGTAAACTTTTGAATCCTAAAAGTTTCACTCATTATTTGTACTGGCCAAGAAATCAACTTTACCTCCCTTTAACTCTTTCCAGAGGAAACCTGAATTGGAAGTCACAGGGAGGGAAAGCTGGATTATAGGAAGAAGTTTCTGTGACTTGTAAAGATTAGTCTAGTCTTTACTTAATTCATATACTTCAAAGGGCTATGTAGAGAGTCATGTGAGAGCATTCTATTCATATGATGCAATAGCACAGGAACTCAGTTTGGAAGGTCTGACTATACATGTCTCCCAAACCCAGGGGAATGAGAAAATGCTCAGGAAAATGCTAGCACCTCTCTTTGGTTCTTCAGGAATTAGACCTTGTTATTGTGAACTCCCACCTAGAGTCTGACTCACTAACTAGTGCTGTAAGAATGGAAATGCAATGTATCTGTTTTGTTTAACAGGGTAGCTACATATGCTGTTGATAAGTTGAAATGTGGTACTGAAACTGAGAAGCTAACTGCTGGGTAGTCTATAAGATTTATCTAAAAGAAGGGTAGCCTATAGGGAATTACCCTATAGGCTACCCTATATATATATATATATATATAATACCCTAATGTATGGCTATTTCAGTGTGCCCTGGAGCCTATCTACCTATACTTGAGCTTTAAAAATGACCTTAGCTCAATTCTCCTCTTCTGTGAGTTGGGGGATAAGGGAAGTGATTCCCTTCATTTCAGAAATGTAGAAATCAGACCCAATGTGGGAAATTAAACTGAGGAAGTTAGTACTCAAGGCAACTGAGAAAGCCAAGAAAAATTTAGCCCTATAACTTCAGTTTCCTGAGTTACTTCTATCTTTCACTATTTCCCACACATGGCATCATCCTTCCATCTGTGTCTAGAACTCTGCCCGCACCCATCCACCCGTGACCTTGGAAACGGCCAGCCATATGCTTGTCCACACTCTGGGGTCTGCCTGAGACTGAGAACCATGCCTGCGCACATCTTTGGGTGACCATGCTTTTGAGAGAGGTAGTGCTAGAAGAAGTGAACTGCTTCACCTGCCTGTTCTGTGTGACTAAAACTTCCATGGGGTGTTTCTGTATGAATTAGTTAGTTTTATATTACTATGAAGGTTCATTTGGGCTCACATTTTGTTGTTTTGGTGCATGGTTGGGTGAACTCATTGCTTCCAGACCTGTCGTGAGGCAGTGTACCATGGTGGGGAGCATGTGGTAGAACAATCATTTGCAATACAGAAGCAGGGAAGAAAAGTGAAAGAAGGGTCCCCAAATCCCCCTTCAGGGACACTCCTCTGATGATCCAAGACCTCATCAGGCCTCACATCTTAAATGTTCTACTGTCTCATAGTAGCATCAACCTGGGGATTAAACTTTAATGCATGGGCCAGTTGGGGACATGTAACAAAGCTATAGCACTGAGTGAGTTAAGGGAAAGGGAAATGTCTGATTTCTAGCACCCAAGTCTTTGACCACACTGTTTTGGGGAATTTTTTTAGGCAGAGAATCCTGGGGACCCACTGCCAGTCTAGGGTAAAGATTTTAGGAGGGGAATATTTTCTGCCACATCATTGAATTCTTGTCTAGGGTTGGAGGGTGTTTAATCTATTCACTCACCCAGTCACAATTTACCATCTAGGTTCAGATTTTTCTAGATACTAATGTGGCCCACAGAAATAAGTAATGAATCTTAGACCTTCTAAGATAGAAAACACAAGGAATTATTGCAATGCTCTGACAAGCAAAGAGATGCTTGTTGATCTTTACTCAGCATTTCTTTTGCAGGTTCGTAGCAGTCTGGCCATGAGCAGCCTGAGTGCTGTGTTTGCTATAATGGGTTTCATTATCCTCTGTGTCAACCTGTCTTCTTTGGGTTCTGCATCACAGCTGTGTGACCTTAGCAAACTGGCTCAGCCAACCACATATTATAGTTATGACTATTATCATAACCGTTATGCCAGGGGCTGCCTCATTGCCACAGCCAGCCTGAATGTAAGTATTTCTCCCAATTTTGTAAGTTTATGAAAGCTATGATTTCTTCCAATCCCTTCTTTTGAAAATCCCTCTAATCTTTTGGATTTGGACATCTAGGGGAAGGCCTGGGCTGTGTGAAGGGGAAAGGAAGCTGTGAACATGAAATTAAGGGCTATAATAAGGGGTCACATAATAAGAGGGTAGAATTGAATATTAAATTTCAAATAAGGTTAATGATGGAAACTAAAACTTATTGTTGGTAGAGGTTCTTAATAATCAAAATTCAATTTTAGAAGCATAAAGCATGAGTTTGGCAAATCAAGAATCTTGGTACATGGAGTGGTGAATTAAGAGAGGCCATCATAGGGATAGGAGTTGTAGCTCAACAGTAGAACACTTGCATCACACGTGCAACACACAGGGTTCCTTGATGCCCCTCATGACAAAAAGAAAAAGAAAGGAGTTAAGAAAGAGGGAAGGAATTAAAGAAAGAAATTAAGGAAAAAAGAAAAAGGAAGGAAGGAATTAAGAAAGAAGGAAGGAATAAATAAATTAAGAAAGAAAGAAAAGCAAAGAAGGAGGGGAGGAGGGAAGGAAGGAAAAAAGAAAGAAAGAAAGGGAGAAAGAGTGGAAAAAAAGGCAAACGTGGTGGAAAGAACTAGATAATCAGGAAATTGCAACAAGGAAACTAAGAATCCTGGCATGTGTGTCGTATGTGGGTGAACTTTGTCAGAGCAAATATCTGGTCCATCACTGAGAAATGGAGTGCTCTCCATTTCTGGAGGTTGGAGGTCCCGGCCTCTTTCCAGTGGAGGAGCACTGATCATGTACAAAGGCAAGTTGATTGTTGTTTTTTCATTACACCCTAAAGAAATGGAATTGACAAGTTAGGAGATAAATACAGGGAAGTGGAGAATAGTAACTGATAATGACTACAAGGAAAGAAGGAAAGTAATGAAGTTTGACCAAAGAAATATTATATCTTAAGCTGGCACAGTGAAGGGCTGGTCAGCAACTGAGAGAAAAGCAGGCAGTAAAGAGGCTGAAGAATATTGTTCTGCAGTCATGAAAGTAAGATAAATCAGACATAGCTGGAGGATGGCAAGACAGTAAAGTCTGGTTGAGCTCATTCATTTCTCCATTCCTCATAAAGCTGGCCCCAGGTCTTTTCTGTCAGTTAATGAAATCATAATGAGAAAAAGTAGATGAAAATGAGATTGATAGTCATTGGAATAAATTAACACATGGCAAAAGGAAGCTTGACTTTGGGAAAAATCCTGGAGAGTTGAGGAGGAATTTGAGTGGTAGGCACAGTATGAATGCATGGTGGGATATTTTTTCATTGTAAGAGAGACTGAATTGGACTAATTTGCTAGGACAATGTCTAGATAATACAATCGAGTTTCATCTCCTCTTGAAATGTGTGTAAGTGAACTAGACATTTATGCAATAACATTATGTCCCTCTTCTACCAAGTGGCCTACACAAAGGACGACTCAGGACAGAAGTGGTAGAACCTGTGCACTTAGTGTTAAGCCTTTTTTAAGTTGATTAGATTTGTTAGAAACTGTGGAAGTTTGCTGCCTTGATTGTTTCCTCCTCTTACAAAGAAAGTCACTAAGAAAGTCCAAAGAAACATATCCAGAGAATTACACACACACACACACACACACTCACCAGCACTCACATCTGTCAATAATAAACTTTACAAAGATTTGCACACTCAAATACTCACTGATGCACACGAATCTCTGAGAAGGAGATTGTATTATGCACATTTGATAAGTGAGAATACAGAAGCCAGAAAAACAGTTGCTTATCTAGGATCACATGAAGCAGTAAAGTTGAAGCTAGAATGGGGCTGTTGACTCAGTCCAGGGAGTTATTCCATCACTCCTCTTAATGCGCCTGGGATTGCCTTTCTCAGAGGGGTAAGAATATAGGGAACAAAATGGTTTAGTTGATTTAGTTATTCCTTATCACTCCTCTTCCTCTCAAGGGAATTGATGAGGATTGATTTAAGCCAATTGCTGTCTTAAAAGGAGCAGGTTTTCCTTCCAGATGTTGTCCTTATGTTACTTTCTGATGGTGGACGTGGTCTTCATCTTACAGTCACCTCCTAGCCAAGCAGGAAGGCTCGGTTGATTCAAACACCACCAATCTCTTACCTCTTGGATTGTAGGGTGTCATATCTGTGATGCTGATCTGCACCTTCCTGGAGCTTGTTCTGGCTGTGCTCACTGCTCTGCTCTGGTGGAAGCAGGCTAGCTGCAGTGTCCCTGGGGTAAGTATGCTATGGCCTCTCTGAAACTTGCCTGATGTTTCTCTGGGATGTGTTGAGCTTTGCCACCAAGAATAACAGAAGGAACAACATGTCAGCATGATATGGACATGAGAGGTGGTTTTAATGGTGATAGAAGACAGGTAAACGAGGGAAGCTATGACAGTTGAGTGACTAGTTGAACTTAAGAAATCACCTATTTCATTCCTCCCATTGCACAAACATCGGAACTGAGGTACTGGGAGGCTAACTGTCTTTCCTAGCACTGTGCTGAGGTTGTGCCTGTGTTCAGGACACTAGAACCTGGTTGCTTCCCTTCTATGTGGGAACAGATGTTGCCACAGCAATTTGTGTCTTTTTTTATTTGGTAAAAGATGTTTACATATGTGGATGGGTCCAGTCAATTTTCTGCTCTGGTTTGCCTTACTTGTGACCTTAAAATTCCTATTTGTCTCAAAAGTTGTTAAAGAAATATTGTTGAATTAAATTACCTGAGTGCTGCTTTACTACCTCTGTGAGCCCATGACTCCATTTAGCCAAATTAAAAAGTTTTGCTTTACCAAAAATTTAATTATAGAGAGCAGAATGAATGCTATATGGTGAACAGCAATTTTTGAAAAAGTTAATGATGTATTACACTCATCTTGGGAAAAGCCAGGAAATCTGTGTGAAAAGATGAAGGCAATTGTATCAATATACACATTCACTTGAACCTGAATGAAATCTGAAAACTAACACATGTTCTTTCTTCTAGAGTGTGCATTTCCTGTCTCAGAGCTCCAAGAATGAATTCAGCTCACCCTCAAAGGAACTTTCCAGTCCTGCATATGAAGAATTATTGAATCCTTAAGAATAAAAAAGAAGAACACATTCAGCAGAAAGTCTACCTTTAGGATAATGTAGACCACCCAACTATCACAAGAGAGTAATGTTTAGTTGTTTCTGTAGTGTAGTGGTTATCACACTCGCCTCATACAAGAGAGTAATGTTTGAATTTCCTAAGGTGTAGGTTGTTTATACAATGAATATCAAAAATTGCTGAATATATGTTTTTATGTGTTCACTGATGTTCTCTCTCTCTCTCTCACTTTTTTTTTTTTGGTAACACTGGGGCTTGGACTCATGGCCTCATACTTCCTAGGCAGATGCTCTGCCACTTGAGCCATTCTCCCAACCCTTTTGCTTTAGTTTGTTTTGGGGGCTGGCCTTGATTCTCTTACCTTTAGCTGGGATTGCAGGTGTGAACCACCATGCCTGACTTGTTTTTGAGATAGGGTGTTGATAATTTATTTTTGTCCAGGCTGACCTCAAACCACAATCCTCCTGCTCACCTCCCAAGCAGTTCAGATTATGGAAGCAAACTACCTCCTCAGGCCTTCAGTGTGGTTCTCTTGGTTTGTTTGACCTTGGTTTCAGCAAAAATACATGCCTATAAATTCTCATTTACTAGACTGGCCAGAGTCTCAGACATTACTTAGAATGATTCAGTGGATCTTGGTGACACAAAGGGGTAACATTTTCTTGTACTCCTTTAGTGGCAAGGGGAGTTAACTGGTTTGTTGCAGAAATCAGAATCCCTTATGAGTGACAGTACTCTTTTATTACACACATTTCACCCAGTGCAAGTCCTTACAATGAAGTCTAAAGATCTATACAGGTAGATGGCTTCAAAATAAAGTTTTTATGGGATTGCATAATACTTGACAATTTCTTTTGTTATTTTTCCTTCACACACAGAGTAACTTCAAATGTAAATATGAAGTACTTTTTACTACCAAAAGAAGCACAGAAAAGTGAGCCAGGAGTATATATTGGTTATTAAATGACATCATTTTTTTCTAATTTCAGAACAGGAACAATTGTTAAATTATAAATGTTACAGCTACTGTTCACTGTTACAGCTACTGTGTGAGTACGTACCTGTGAACTCACACACACACACACACACACACACACACACACACACACACACACACAATTTCTCCTATTTCTTTACCTATTGTAAATTGTGCCTATGTGGTTGGAGGAAATGTCAACAAAGCAAAGACGTGTGTTAAACTGAATCTGAATAAACACTGAATGTTTTGCAATACATTTTGGGTACCAGGCAGTTTACTTGATTATACAGTTACTAGTATGAATAAGATATAGTTCTTGCCTTCAAGAAATTTATAGTATAATAAGGAAAGTGCCCATGACAATAAAATTAGGGACATATTGTACATTAAATTCTATTTGAATCCAGAATAAAGAACAGTTTTTCTTCTGAAAAGAATGTAGGATTAAGAGAGGAAGAAACACACACACACATGCACATACACACACACACACACACACACAGAAAGAGAACAAGAGAGAGAGAGAGAGAGAGAGGGAATGCTTCTTTGAGACTCCCTAGTGTCAATCACATGATACTATTCTCATGTCCCAGGGGTGACTATCATGTGGAAAACACACTTGGTGCATTTATCTACTGCATTCCTACTCTAGCTTCACTCCTCACTATCTGACAACATTTTACATAATTAGATGACTTAGAAAAAAGTCATAGGAAGACATAAATTACCAAAAGTTACCACTAAACCAGCACTACAGAAGATACTCATAGGAATCCTACACACAAGAGAGGAAGATAAATGTAAACATGAAAATACTGGAAAAAATAAATCTCACCAGATAAGTACATAAGCAAATGAAGAGTAGAAAAGAATCAAGCATTGGGAAAAAAATGGCAGGAATTATCACTTATCTTTCAATATTAACAACCAGTCTTCCAATCAAAAGACATAGAATGTTGAGTTGGGTTAAACAGCAAGACTCAGCCATTTGTTGACTATAAGAAATGCATTTAAACAATAGCAAATATGAATGATTCTGTAACAGTGAAGAAATGGAAACCATATTTAAAAACCTTCTCAGCAAATAAAGCTCAGACCCAGATAGCTTCATTGGTGAATTAATTTTAATATTTAAAGAAAAAATAGCAACCATTTATGAGCTCATGCACAAAAAAGAGGAGGAGGGAACACTTCAAACTTATTCTATGATGTTAGTATCCTGACATCAAACACAGACAGAGACAGTTTAAAAAAAGAAAGTCATGGATAAACATGACTGGTGATGAATTTTATATTCTTCTGAGGTGACTGCAGTCATATAAAATGGCCATTCTGCTAGTATCTTCTTCATTACAGTGTCAGTCATAATTTGGGTGAGGGATATTCCATTTGGGACTTGTCTGTCTTCCTGTAAGCAAATCTGATACTGCCAGTACCTGTCATCCTTCTGGGTTTAGTAGGCTTTGACCATCTATAGTACAACAGATGGTATCTTGACATTTTTCCTTTTCTTAGTGTTTATGATTCCCTTCTTTAATTCACTCTCATAAATCCTCAGGATCCATTTTAAAGGTATAGCCAATTTATTTTCCCAATTTAGTATAAGTTGCCTAGGTTGTTTTGTTGGAGCACCACCTGCTGGTGCTTTTTCTAAACAGTAACACTAAAAATACATATTTTTTTGAGGATAACACTTTTAATGTTAAGGATAAAAGAAGCATTATATATTATTCAGGCAAAAATCAGATAAGTTACAAAGATATATACCTTTTCCATTTATCTTTAGTGATTGTACTAGGGTAGAAAAATACAACTTTTATTAGTCAGTTTACCTTCAAATAATATTATACTAATTAGTACATGTATTAAAAATCATTATACTCTTAATTGCTACCTATTTATTGTGCTACTAGTTTTATTTATTTCACTTTCACATATGCTACTAGTCCAAAATAGTAAAAATCCAATAATATTTTTGGTTTAGTCATTTATTAATTAAATATAATTAAAACAGTCTTTTATATTTAGCTTTTTAAAAAAATCACAATTGCAAATCGTGACTCATTGTTGGGCTAAAGACAGCCCAACAGCAAGGGGTCCAGAAAGATCAGGCTTCTACAGAATGAGCAATGTCATGGGTACTAGTGGGACTGTAGAAGTCATTCCAACAAACAGGATTCAAAGCCTCTAGTGGGACAAGCAGCCACTTCTGGTTACACAGCAAACTGATAAACACACAGCAAACTACATAAGCGAATTTCCTTATGAAGAATTTTTGGATGTAAGTGATTTTTAGTTCTTTAGATATGTCAGAAGAAATATGGAAAGTTAAAGGGTCTTTCATTATATTTGTGATGAATTATGTTATACTAGTTCCAAAGATTAGGTGTAAATGAACTAAAAAATGTGTAATACACTAAGGTCAAATATCATGACTTGAAGGTATTCTAGGCTCCCAGAGATAAAATGGAATTTTCTCCCAGATATATCCTCATGAGACAGTTTCTGCCCATGCCACTTGGTAAACAAGCATAAAAATTTAGAATCTTATACTTCTGATTATTTCCAAAGAACAATGAAGGTAGTGAAGACTCAATAAGACTCATGATCTTGAGACAGAGGGAAAGAAGTTTTTTTTAATCTTTTATTCATATGTGCATACAATGTTTGGGTCATTTCTCTCTACTTCCCCCTGGCACCCTCCTTTTCCCCCTGCCCCCTTCCTCTCCTTCCCTACCCCCCTCACTTCCAGGCAGAAACTGGTTTGTCCTTATCTCTAATTTTGTTTAATAGAGAGTTAAGCAATAATAAGGACCAAGGGTTTTTGCTAGTTGAGAAAAGGATAGCTATAGAAAGAGTTCCTCTCATTGCTTTCATGTACATATGTGTTACATTCTAAGTTGATTCTCCTAGAACTAACCTTTCCTTTAGTTCCTGGTCCCCTTCTCCTGTTGGCCTCTGTCATTTTAAAGTTTCTGCATTAGGTTCTTTGCATTGAGAACAGCAAATGCTATCATTTTTTTTGGGTTTCTTACCTATCCTCATACCTCCCTTGTATGCTCTTGCCTTATCATGTGACCAAAGTCCAATCCACTTGTTGTGTTTGCCCTTGATCTAAAGTCCGCATATGAGTAAGAACATATGATTTTTGGTCTTCTGAACCTGGCCAGCCCCGCACAGGATGATGTTCTCCAGTTCCATCCATTTACTTGTGAATGATAAAATTTCATTCTTCATCATGGCCTAGTAGAATTCCATTGTGTATAAATACCACATTTTCTTAATCCATTCGTCGGTATTGGGGCATCTTGGCTGTTTCCATAACTTGGCTATTGTGAATAGTGCTGTGATAAACATGGGTGTGCAGGTGCCTCTGACGTAACCTGTGTCACATTCCTTTGGGTATATCCCCAGGTGTGGTATTGCTGGATCATATGGCAGGTCTATGTTTAGATTTTTAAGGAGCCTCCAAATTTTTTACAGAGTGGTTGTGCTAGTTTACATTCCCACCAGCAGTGTAAGAGGGTTCCTTTTTCTCCACATCCTTGCCAACACCTGTTGTTGGTGGTGTTGCTAATGGTGGATATTCTAACAGGGATGAGGTGAAATCTTAGTGTGGTTTTGATTTGCATTTCCTTTATGACCAGGGATGGTGAGCATTTTATCATGTGTTTTTTGGCCATTTGAATTTCTTCTTTTGAGAAAGTTCTGTTTAGCTCAGTTGCCCATTTCTTTATTGCTTCATTGATTTGGGGGGAGTTTAGTTTTTTTGAGCTCCTTGTATATTCTGGTTATCATTCCTTTGCCTGATGTGTAGCTGGCAAATATTTTCTCCCACTCTGTGGGTGGTCTCTTCAGTGTAGAGACCATTTCTTTTGTTGTACAGAACCTTTTAAATTTTATGTAGTCCCATTTGTCCATCCTTTCTCTTAATTGCTGAGCTGCTGGGGTTCTATTGAGGAAGTTCTTGCCTATACCTATTGCTTCCAGAGTATTCCCTGCTCTTTTCTGTACTAACTTCAGAGTTTCAGGTGTGATATTTAGGTCCTTGATCCATTTTGAGTTGGTACTAGTACAGGGTAATGAACATGGATCTACTTTCAGTTTTTTGAAGACAGATAACCACTTTTCCCAGCAACATTTGTTGAAGAGGCTGTCTTTTCTCCATGGTATGTTCTTGGTACCTTTGTCAACAAATAAGGTGGGCACAGCTGTGTGGATTCATATCCGGGTTCTCTATTCTATTCCACTGGTCTTCATATCTGTTTTCGTGCCAATACCATGCTGTTTTGTTTGCTATTGCTTTGTAACATAGTTTGAAGTCAGGTATTGTGATACCTCCAGCATTGTTCTTTTTGTTGAGTATTGCCTTGGCTATTCATGGTCTCTTGTGTTTCCAAATGAATTTTAGGGTAGATTTTTTTATCTCTTTGCTCAATGTCACTGGGATTTTGATGGAATTGCATTGAACATGTAGATTGCTTTTGGTAGTATAGCCATTTTTATCATATTGATTATACCTATCCACGAGCATGGGAGATCTCTCCACATTCTAGTGTCTTCCTCAATCTCTTTCTTCGGGAGTTTATAGTTTTCCCTGTAGAGGTCATTCACATCCTTTGTTAGGTTTACACCTAGGTATTTGATTTTTTTTTTGAGGCTATTGTAAATGGAATTGCTTTCATATATTCTTTCTCAGTTTGTTCATTATAAGTGTATAGAAATGTTAATGATTTTTCTATGTTAATTTTATATCCTGCTACCTTGCTATAGCTATTGATGGTATCTAGGAGATTTTGAGTAGAGTTTTTTGGGTCTTTAAGGTATAGGATCATATCATCTGCAAATAGGGATGTTTTGACAGTTTCTTTACCTATTTGTATTCCTTTTATTTTTTCTTCTTGCCTAATTGCTCTGGCTAGGAATTCCAGAACTATGTTGAATGGAGATAGTGGGCATCCTTGTCTAGTTCCTGATTTTAGAGGGAATGGTTTCAGTTTTTCTCCGTTAAGTATAATGCTGGCTGTAGGTTTGTCATATATAGCTTTTATAATGTTGAGGTACTTTCCTTCTATTCCTAGTTTTCTTAGTGCTTTTATCATGAAATGGTGTTGGATCTTGTCAAAGGCTTTTTCTGCATATATTCAGATGATCAAATGGTTTTTTTCTTTGCTTCTATTAATGTGCTGTATTGCATTTATTGATTTGCATATGTTGAACCACCCTTGCATTCCTGGGATG